TTTGATCACAGCATTGAGAATGCAATACAATAATTATATTCCGGAATTAGTGTTAAAATTGTGTTAAACAATACAATTACTAATTATTGAATAAATTAAATGAATGCAAATCAGAACAAATGGATGCAATGGTCTATTGAATTAACTTATTTTCATTTGTGTTATATATTTTAATTATTTATTAGTTTTATGTAAATCAGTGCTCATTATGTGATAAATAAATTGTTTTTCTGCCGAAAAGCAATTTAACGCATAAATGACAACCGATTGACAATATTTTTTATAATTAGTTTCTCACTCACAATAAAAAGAGTATTAAGAGCGCGATTACAAATGCTATGATAATAGCAATGGATAACAACACTTGAAGTGTATCTATCACTCGTCTCCCCTGTAATTTCAAATCAAATTTTATAATTAATATTTTTGTTCAACAAAATCATGAGGTTTTCAATAAATAAAAAACAGATAATATAATAATAGAATTAAAAAACAACATAATCTCAAATAAAAAACTAGTACTTCATAAATATATAAATGTATTTTTCAAGAAATACAAAATTAATAATATTTTCTTATACTTAAACAACTCCACAACATATTGCATACAAGTATAACATAAGATACTGTTTATATACTTAATAAAATAAATTGAATGTAATTAATAATTATAATATATTTACTTGTGCTAAAAGTCAAGAATACGTTTACTATAACATTACTAATGTTACATTAGACATTTATCAATCATATGCTTACACTAATTAACTTTTCTTTTATTATTAAAGGCATAAAAAATTCTGTTTATTCTCTTTCTTATTACCAAAATTACTGAATTTATTATATATTATTATAATATATAATCTTATTATCATTCATTCAATTTATAACAAAACCTAATTAATAAAACACTAGACTAAGAAGTAATATAATTTTATATTTTTAATTGGTAGTGTAATTTTGACAATTCTTTAAATAAATTATTATAACTATTATAAAAAATTATATTTCTATCTATTTATTTATTTCTATCTAATTATATTTCTATCAATCTATTTATATGTATTATAAAAATGTTATAAAACTTACGCTTTGATTGACTTCTTTGTGGTCGTTATCAGTCAACAAAATCTTCAAGTGATGAAGAATATGAAGAATAACATAACAGACAACAAAAGCGATGACTACCCATAAGAAAGACTTTGGGACCAAAGTACCAAACTTTGATGTTAAACATATCGCCGCGACTATTGGCCCACAAAATTAAAACAATGTTCAGACAAATAACATAAACACAACATTGTTCACAATGGAAGTACTTACACGACAGGATGTGTCCGATATAACCGCCCGACCAGTGAAGCCAATTAAACAGCCATCTCTTCGGAGAGTCGGGACCGGGTCTGAAGAGAGCACCGATTGGTTGCAGTAATGATAGTATGATTGCAGTCAAGCCAATGATTGCGTGCGGAGACGGCTTTTAGGGATTAAAGAAATTCATTTTTATATTTCATCTCATATCTCGGATGTATAGCAGGCCATCACTTACTCCACTCCAGCCTTTCTTCTCGACAAATATTAAAACCGTTGCAATAATTATTGCGACCACACCCGTGACCATAATCGCCCGGTGATACTGTTGTCATAGGTATTGGTTAACATTTTTATAATTAGTTATTAAAAAATTATTTAGGCTTAAACTTAATTGAATATAATTACCGCAAACCAGAGTTTAACGCCACAGAGCGTAGAATCAGGCCATGAATTCTTGTAATGGCGAGCCATTAGTATGGAAATACTGACGCATCCCAACCACGCGATTATCATAAAAGCACCATGCAGCTTTATGTATATACTGACGGGCGCCGCCTTTAAAATGCCCACAGACTGCAGATTTGTGGCCAAATCGGTGGGCTTTACTTCCGTGTGTTTTGCAATGTTTTGTTCATCTGTTTTCATAAATATTCAATAGTTATGCAAATTATTTGATAAATAATCCAAACATTTCAGACCTGAAGCAAGCGGTCCGTACGCTAACAGCAAATAATATGAATTGTTTTGTAAATCAAAACTATGGCCTCTTATAGTGAACGATGGCTTTCGGCTCCATTTACAGTGGAGTAAGCCGTCGGCAAACGACTTGTCCAATTCGCTTACGCTTTGGTCATCACTTATATTGTCAACGCCTTTGTGGNTATGAATTGTTTTGTAAATCAAAACTATGGCCTCTTATAGTGAACGATGGCTTTCGGCTCCATTTACAGTGGAGTAAGCCGTCGGCAAACGACTTGTCCAATTCGCTTACGCTTTGGTCATCACTTATATTGTCAACGCCTTTGTGGTCTACAGTCCACCCCTGGCCGAGACGTGTTCCGCCATTTTTATCAACTATGCATTCAGTGACGGTGTCGTCACCCATAACACCGTCTGTGGAGAGTCCGAGAGCCACATACCCGGAAGCGGTCGCTCCCGACCAAAACAACTCAAACTCAACGGTCCCCTCAGTTGCGGACATTGAGACTAAACTGACTAAAGCCGTGCAGTCGTTGGTATCAATGCATTCTTTGCCGTTATTATAGCCAAAACAAAGTCTCTCGTTATCCGTACATCTCTTGTAAGCGGTGGCTAAGAGTGATGGCATCGGTGTACTGACCGACGGATCAATTGTTGCGCTTTTATCTGTTTGCAAATTCAATGCTCGCGGACTCACATATTTCTTAGAGTGAAAATCCTTTACTCCTGTAATCAGTGTTGTTAAAAAANTCTCTTGTAAGCGGTGGCTAAGAGTGATGGCATCGGTGTACTGACCGACGGATCAATTGTTGCGCTTTTATCTGTTTGCAAATTCAATGCTCGCGGACTCACATATTTCTTAGAGTGAAAATCCTTTACTCCTGTAATCAGTGTTGTTAAAAAATTAATAAGTTTTGTTATCGCAATTTTGTAGTAACTATTTTGTTATTCAAACAGTGAATGTGATTCAAAAAATTTCTACTTAAATCTATAGATAATATTATTAACAAACAACAAGTATATTAATTTTAATCACAAATTGTGTAATAAATAGCGAGAAAAACAAATACCAAAATAGGATATACAGTACCTGTTGTCGTATCCGTTAGCTTCCCTTTGGCCAAAAGCACGTAAAAGCTTTGACTCAAATCAAATGTCTTATCCCTGACCACTGTATTGGCCGCTCGCGTCCACTTGCAGTTTATAAGTCCGCCGTCATATACCACATCACCCGTAGTCTCCACTCCCATCACATTCCCTATTATTTCATTAGTCAAATCTTTGCCTGGATTTGTGTTCCAACTGTTCCGGAGTATTGTCTTTCCGTCCGCGAGAACCAGACACTCGACGACCGCATCGTTTCCCATAAGGTTGTCGAGAGACAGAGCTGTCGCTATCCAACCCGTGGCGGCCGAGTCATCGTTACTCGCTTTGCCGATCATATGAAAGGCAACCTTTCCGTCGCTCAAACCATATCCGCTATTAGTAATGGCCAGCAATTGATCGCAGGTTTTGGTGGCAATACATCCGTTTGGATGACCCAAACATAACTTCCCATTACATGTGTTGTATAAATGAGACAATGCCTTCTCGTTAGTAAACTTCAGATCCACTTCTGATTGGGAGTAAGTTCTCAGTGAATGGTGTGCTTTCTCTACACAAACGCCACAATTATATTTTCCACAAATAAATAACTTTTAAAATGATTTAATAATAATAAAAGGAAATAACAAAAAGAGCAAAAATGTAGGTTTGCCTAAAAAAGAGTTCCTAAATGTTGTCAAAATGATTGAGAACTTATTGATAGTTTTAAAAAAATTATTATCGATTAATCTCTGTATAGATTAGGGCTCATAAAGCGAGGCAGAGGTAGGTGTAGCTATAGATGAGATTTTTTTATACCGTATTAATTTATAAAAGGTATACTTGAACTGTATTAATACGGTTAAAAGGCATTAAGAAATAATGTAAGTTAACGGTGCCATTTGGACCGGCACTACATATGTGGTGGATTGGCTTTTTGAGAGGTCAAACGGGTTTTATAAAATGCAGTTGTGATCAGTCTTTAAAATATCAAACTCGTGTCCATTTGGTGTTGTGATGGCATCGCGAACCCATTTGGCGAGAGAGCGAAACGGGTGAGAGAGAGAGAGAGAGAGAGAGAGAGAGAGAGAGAGAGAGACGACAGTACAATATTACTGAAAGAGGATCTATGGGCGCAACAGAACACTACTATTAAATCTTGAATTTAATTAACCCAATCATCCGTATTATATAAGCAAATGTTGTTTTTACACAATATTTATGAAAATAAAAGATTTGAAAAAAGAAGATTTTATAGAAATATTTGACTTATTTTTTTGTGGCAATAAATACAACAGAGAAAAAGTGGACAAAAACGTGTTGAATTTAAGCATCAAAACGTGAAATATGCATTATTTGTAATAACACTAGATTTTGGTATTACATATGAGATGAGAAAAGAAACATGATTAATGTTATCAGCCCTTACTATTGTTTTCCTTGAAGGGTCCTTTTGCTAACAGTATGTTGTGATCAGTCTTTAAAATATCAAACTCTTGTCCATTTGGTGTTGTGATGGCATCGCGAACCCATTTGGCACTTATAATGCCGTCACTATTAACAATATTTCCTATTTGTTTGATGCCATCCATACCCGCGATCTCATCGTTATCTTTTTTATCCTTTTGGTTCCAACTTTGCTTCAATTCCAGTTGATTCCCATCGGATGAGACAATAATGTCTGTCACAGAATCGCTTCCCATTTTATTATCCACTGACAAAGCCATTGAGATATATTGAATCTGAGGATCTGTTTTGGTGAACATTTCAAACTGAACACCCGCTACGCCGGTCGGGCTGTCCGGTGGCGATGCCATCAATAGAGTATTGCATGCATTTGTCTCAATACAAGCGGTCGGCAGACCATCACAATATACTCGTGTGTTTAAACATTTTGATAATGATATCTCAGAACTTAATACAGAATTATGCCGTAAAACCGATAATATTGTTAGAATAGCATAAAACGTATATTTGAATACTAGTAAATTCATTGCAATAATGAAAGTTATATTCTTAGTGTAGATATAACTGGAAAGCCTTTTGTTGTTCAATAATTTATATAATTAAAATTCTGGTACATTTGAACACAAAAATCTATAATCAATGTTACAATGAATTGACAGAATGTTTGCAAAAAAGGCGACTGTTTCTATTTGTCACTTATATATTGTGATGTAATGATAAAACATATACAATATTTTAACTCAATAGGTAAAGTACAGTACGCGCAGGGATTCAGTTATTTATTATGTGAAATGTGTTTTTATCTAATCAATGTTATTTTATTAATTATTTTTAAACCACCCGAACGAGGGTGGAAGTTGTTCACGTGTCTCACTTATGTCTATGTAAATCACTGTTAATATCCAGATATTTTAATTTAAATAGATATATATAATCAGTTATATGTATAGATATTTTTTAATTGAATTAAAATTACTTGAATTATTACCAGAATTTATTGAATAATGTTTGATACATTAAATGAGTTAGCATTTTGTACTATTATATAATAATCATGGTCGATGATCGTAGATGTACTGATTAAAAGCTCAAGTATCCATAACATGTTGTGCCCATCAATGACTTCATTGGGCCCCGTATACCCCCAAAGAGTTGGCAAAGTATGCCATCAATAAAACAATTACTGGTACTTATATATTGAAAAACACATTCATTATATAAATGTCATATTATAATAAAAGTTGTGCTCAGTTTGTGATTAAGTTAATTAAAGGAATTTTGCAAAGTATCCCATTCTTGGAAATATTTGTTTATGACTTTTGTAATAAAATAATTACAATATATCCGACTAAACATATAGTTAATTGTAAAATACATATTAATCATTATAAATCATGTAATAAAGGATATGTTTAGCTCAAACACTATAATAATAAGTTAAATTTAAATTAATTACAAATTAATCGATTGTTTTATTACCCGGAGCCAATGATTTAACTAATCACTTATATTCGAGCGTTTTAACGTTTTAATTATTTATTATTTTTATTTCTATTACTAATTAAAAGTTGTATTTTTTCGATTAATTATGTTTAATAATTAAATAATTATTATATATAATTAGATAAATCTTCGTGTTAAATTATATTTACTATATGACTCTCATTATTTGCAAAGAACGTGATTGTTTAATAAATTAAACTATAATCAATAATTATGTTTAATAATTAAATAATTATTATATATAATTAGATAAATCTTCGTGTTAAATTATATTTACTATATGACTCTCATTATTTGCAAAGAACGTGATTGTTTAATAAATTAAACTATTTAGTTAATTTATATTATTCTATAATTATAATCATATCTTATTGCTCATATTGATTAAACTTTCATATAAAGATCATAATTTCGTAAAATACAATACTACTCTAATATTATGTTTGAATTATGTTTTATATAACTTTTATAAACCACATTCCAAGAACTTTAATTATATATTAAAACATTTTAAAACAAACCATTTTAAGAACATATTATTTTAGGGGAATTATTTTAATTTGTAACATCTATGTACAGTATAACTATGTAGTTTTTGTTGTGATATGACCAATAAACTTGACATTCTATTGCAAAAGTAATATCACAACAATTAACATTTGTTTCCATAGACATAATATTACATTTTAACTTCTAGATATTTCGAGTTTACTTTTGTGCAGACCATTAATCTCCACACCTATAAGATGTGATAACAATTTACTGTTAAACACCAAATAATACAGGATTAAGGTATAATGATTTCTTTATTGTAAATAAATAATAATATTATTGTACATTATATTAACGGTTATTTATTACATATATAATTTCTAAAGGAAATCAATAAAATTTTAGTCGCTATGATATTTGAATTGATTTTATAATACCATAACATATTTATTAAACTAATTTTATCAGTAAATTATGAGACCAACACTTGTGACTTCAAAGTATGCAATAGTTATGTAAACAATACAATCGTTTAATTAGACAAATATTAAACAAATCCTTACTCATTAAATATTACAATTAAATGTGATTTCAATTGAGTGCTATGTTTTGAAATATATGTTCATTTGATTAATAATTAGCTTTATTTCAGTCAATCGCTGAAGTGGTTAAAGGGAAGGGAATATTCATTGTTACAAATATTTCCCAAAAATATTGGCGTTTAATAATTTCCTGACGTCTCTCTAATTAATTAAACGTTTTGTTTATTTTTCTTCAAAAAATGTTTAACAAAAGAAAAATTACCGAAAAAAATAAGAAAAATAAAATGATTTATTTTGACAGAAAAGACTCGTTTCCTTAAAATTTCCACAAAAAATAGTAATTTTAAACTTTTCTATAGTTATAAAAATAATGTTTTTAATGAAATTAGTTTCAGTTTTGCTTTGCATTCAATTAACGGGGAAAACGAGAGAATTATGGTTTCAATGCTATGGTTTGTAAGCCATTGTCAAGAAATTATTTTTATTGATATAAATAATCAGAAATATCATCTCTTTGTGAGATTTCAAAGACAAAAACCGTTGTTTTAACCGATATTTTATATAATATACAATGAGATGATATGATTGCCATAGACTTTCACTCCGAAAACACCCACCAATTGCCAAGTACCCTGCTCAATGAACTCAATAATAGTTTTTTAAATATTAATTAATGCATTTATAGTAAACAGTGTTTTTGCTAAATCTCATGATAGCTAATAAACACTGAATGATTGTGTGAATAATTAACACATTTTCATAATGTTTGGTTTGAATTTAAAACCATTACAACTATTATTTATAATGAAACTCTAATTATAACTTATTCATACAATTTATCACTAGTTTTCTGAAGTTTTAAATTAATAAAAATATATTTTAAACCACAACATGTATCGCAGCACTCATTCGCTATATTTATGTAATTGAATATAAGGTTAATATTCAATATAAACTATTTTGTTATCAAAATTAATTGCGTGAAAAATAAAAGATTTATAAATTTAAATAAATGTAAGTTTTATAAAAAATGTTGAAGAATGTGCTCCGAATCTAAATCGGCAAACAATGACCCGATTGTTGGCAATTGTTTCAAATGTTAGGTAAGTTTTCATTTGCCTCTCAATCCACTATCAAATAAATTTATGATAAATCTCATCCTTATTTTGCTGATCGTTGTGTTTATCAAATCGTCTCTTATTTGTTAAATAATAATACAATTTGTTTGTCAATAGTATTGACCAACAATTTGGGGAAACATTTTATTATTATTCTGATGTTTAGCCTAAATATTAATGCTTTTGTTGAGTGAATAAAAATGCCTTTTTCTTCTCAATATTTATATTAAGGCTTAAGAACTTTGAAGGACCGGAAAATTCCAGCCTTTTGTCTAACCATTTCTGACGGAAATAACAGTCTAATGAAAATTCCTGTTTATTTATTGAAATAAAATTTTGGTTAATTCAGTGATAAAATAGTATGTTTGTCACAAGTGTTGTAAATAAATACTTAATGCTTATATAATTATATAAAAATTGTGAAAACATTATTTAAAAATAAATTTAATTTTCTAAAGCTTATACAAAAAGGATTTAAAACATAAATTGCTGAAAACAAAGATAAAGTTTTAACAGATTCAATGCGTAAACTTTCCTTCAATTAATGTAGCTTTTAAAATTATATTAAAACTATTAACTAATATTAACAATATTTGAAACATTATATAATCTCAAAATATTAACCATGTATTTACGTTAGAAAACATTACAAATATTAATCAACACAAACCATATCGAGCTCAGAGATGGGACCAATACTTCTGATTTCTAAGTTTGTTGTGATCACAGCTTCGGGTCCTTTCCGTCCATTATTTTAAATAAAATTATGTTTAAAACAAATATTCTGACTCTTTTTGATCGAGGAATGAATGTATTTAAATAGTATATCCATTAGTTGTTAATTAATATACAGTGAACACTCGATTACTATATCGAATGTTCACTGTATTGTATATTACTGTCATATACTGTATGCAAAAATTCGTTAAATTTATTTCAAATGAGAGCTAACATAGAGTTATTCTGTATTACAGAGACATAAGTGTATAATAATTAATGGANTATTGTATATTACTGTCATATACTGTATGCAAAAATTCGTTAAATTTATTTCAAATGAGAGCTAACATAGAGTTATTCTGTATTACAGAGACATAAGTGTATAATAATTAATGGAAGTGTCACTCATGTTATTATAAGTAAATTATTCAAATTAATGGATATTTTATAGTTGTTTCGTTTGAATTACTCAAAAATAATTGAAATTTCTGCACAAAACTAACAAAATTAATGATATATTAATAATATCTGCAAAACCATTGATTTGTATTTTCCTAATGAATACAACACTTTAATAATTTATGAATCTAATAGCGTTTAAATATCCAATATTTACATTTCAATTATGGTTATATTAATACTTTAAAAATATAAAAAGTTTATTTATTCCTAACTATAAAAATTTGATTTAAATCATTTTAGCCTTAATAATACTCAAAACTATATATCTGTATCATTGAATTGAGCGGTAAAACCATTAAACATCATTAAAAGTCAATGAATGGTACAAAACATATATTTTAGTAATACTTAAAAAGCGCTTTAATATCACGGATAATAACTTATATATCGATTTAAAGNGTATCATTGAATTGAGCGGTAAAACCATTAAACATCATTAAAAGTCAATGAATGGTACAAAACATATATTTTAGTAATACTTAAAAAGCGCTTTAATATCACGGATAATAACTTATATATCGATTTAAAGTGTCGTCTAAAATAACCATCGATTGAAACACACAAATCATTATGAAGTGTGTATTTGGACTCAGATTTCAACTCATTGATAATGTGATCGATCGGTTACCTCCATGTCCTGGTCTCTGATTTCTGTCGTAGTCGACCAATAAATCTCCTAAAATTATGGTCACTTTTTTGCTGATCTCCAGTGACTCCAACTGATCCGTTGACCCACTTCTTTGTCGCGTGTTTTCGGGTGTTTTGTGCATCTTATGAGACATTAGCCGCTGAGGCTCTGAATGATATCCACTCAGTATTATCTCACTGTCGGTCGTCTTATTGTCCTCTTTGTGGTCGCTATCGTTACCCGAATAGTGTCTCTCATATATTCTGTAATTGTTTTTATCCATTGAATCAAATGCTGGAATAGTTGAACGAATTCTCCTAAAACATCCAAATGTGAGGGCAATTGATATAAAAATTTATTACTTTTTGAGGTAATTATTAAGTGAAAACTTCTCGAAATATTATAGCCTTTGAGGCATTTATTTTAAACTATGGATCTATTGTGTAGTGAATGAACTTTTTTTTAATCAAAACTCAACAAATATTTGCTTTTCTGCTAAAAGTGCTTAAATTATATGATGTTTCTTGTATTTTCGTTATTCAATAAAGATACTCAAAATATTAGTTTTCATATTATTATAAAATAGTATTTTATTAATGAATATGTAGTCAACCAGTCGTTAAGTGAGGCAAAAATCAATTGTTTTACAATAAAATCTAAACATAATTCCTACAAATATGTAAAGGTATACCAAATACTGTATTAAATTGAATCAAACAAACATTACATTTATACCCAATTTATTTAAAATATCTATTCACTAAAAATAAGTCTGTGTTAAATTCCCATAAAATTCATCTCATTTTATAAACTAAATTATATGAAAAACGGATTCTTGACTCTAAATAAATCAAAATCAAGTCACAAGACATAAAACTTGCATTTCTTTCATTTGATATTTTTGGTAAACCTTTAAATGAAATAGTATTTGAAAAAAGTTTGGATTTTATTAAATTTATTTAAAAATATAATTTAATGGAAATAATGGTGAATAACAGTAATGTGTAACTCAGCTGTTGCTCTCTGGCAAAACATCTATATATACAACCATTGGTAGCTTATATTCTGTTGAGGTTTATATTGATATAAACTTCCATTTATATCAAACTTCTCTACTTTACATGATTGGATCGAAAGGCTAATCGTATTGTTTAACACAATTTATACGAAAACTATAAAATTATAGATTTTATAAGCTTGTCAAAACATTTATTGTTTTCATTTACATGTTTTGGTACTCAAAACTTATTATAACAAAAGCACGATTTTAATTGTTATCATTATTATAATGCACTAAAAACTCCATAAGTCAAACCCTCTATAACTTGGTCCCTCTATAAGTTGCACAAATCATGTTAAGTGTTGTGCCAATTAATATACTGATGGAATAAAACATTTTGAGAACACAATACTGACTGTGTGTTACCCATATCTTATCAACAATACTAATTGTGACTATAAATATATAAAATTAACAAACCATCTACATATTAATGCAATTAATCTTATAAATAATTTAGCAACTTTTAATAATAATCCAAATATAAATTTATGTTCTCCAAAGTTACATTATTATAAAAATCATAAGCATTTAAACTAATTCTAAACAGATTAAAAACTTTTAATTTATGCTTTAAAACTGCATTTACTGCTTTATTCAGACAAACATTTATTATTTAAAGTTTAATTGGTATTCAACGAAATGAAATAATTAATTCAATTGGTAATCAAATTAATTATTTTAAATACATTTATTATAAAACAATTTATATTAAACATGAAATTATGGTAGAATTAATGCTTAGTTCTCATACTTCTTGGACATCATTTACAAACATTTTCATTAAATACAATTTCTAATCAATTTTATATATGATTTATGGCTTATATGTGAATCATTTGTTTTAAGCTATTCTCGTATCAGTGAAAGCATTTGAATATTTGTAATAATGGCTAAGTGTTTGATTTGTATGGTTTGAAACCAATTTCCCAAAAACAAAACCAGACCTACAAATGAGAAATGATGTCTCGTTTAATTCACAAACACTTAATCTATTTGACAAATCAATGTCTTTTCAAATAAAACACTTAGATTTAGATCATAATTAAGTGACGATTCCATCACATGATAACATCACTCCACTGTTTGATAACCAAATATCTAAACCAGTAATTAATTAAATTTGCAACAAAACAATTTGTCACAATTTAAATCAACCAAAATGTTTATCATAGAGAAAAAGCATTTGTTTAAATCCTAATTTACTTATATGTCGAGTGATAGGACTACCAATATTTAATGAACGCTACAAAAGTACTGTATTTTCTTCTTTAATGTTATTTAATATAAAATTCATGAATGCTTTCCATTGCAAACACAGCGTATAGTATATGCTATTAATAGGGAGGGAATGGACAGTGGATGCTGTGGTCAGACCTGATATGAATCACTTTGTTCTCTATAAAACTTAATTAGTTTTTTTCTATCAAATAAATTCTTAAATTAATGTCATTAACGTATATATAAAGACAGCTTACGCTGGGATCTAATTATTTGATCCAACGATACTGTTTTCCCGGCCATTCTTGCCGTTTAAAACACATAGAGATAGACATAAAGAATACCATGTAATCCATGTTTTATAATTGATTTCAATATAAATACAATTATCAAAAGGCAATCTTTAATTTGTTGTATTATCACAACTCTAGCGATAAAAATACAGATCTAATGATCAAATGTGAAGGAAATTATTTGTTGCTAAAACACATTGTTATGCGGAAATATTATGGCAGAAACGGTTTTAACGATAATGTTTGTTGTTAATAACAATTATGCACTATTTCTACTTCATTTGACCACAAAATACAGCCATAAATCTATTGGAAGTAATCTACAAGTTATTAACTAATATGAAATCTTAATTAAACTACAATTTAAATGCTGTGTCGAATATAATGTTTTACATAATCTTGTTTTGAAATATTTTTATAATTTTGTACAAAATATACAAAAACTATTGAGTTCTCAAAAAAGTTATTTTAATAATCAATTGAATTTTTGGCGATAAACTCTTTGCTATTTTAATAGCATTGAGCGGAAGGCAACATAAATACACAGAATATTCTTATGACTTATTTGTTAATAAAATTTCGTTTGTATTGATTTCTATTCGAGAATTTGTTTATTCAGATATAAAATTCCGTTGAAGAAGACATCTGTCATATCGGAAACATTATAAAAGGGAATATTAAATGATGTATAAAAACAACGTTAAAAAGTTATCTCAAATCTTATATTGTATTTGCGTTGAAATACTGTTGTATTGTTTCTCTAACTTCAAAATAATTATTATAAAAAAAATCATGTCATTTGTATAAAACAGTAACTAATTTGACACATCTTTTTGATAATTTCAACGAATATTGAATTTAATATTTTATTATAATTCCCTACAAAAGAGTTACATTCATATAATTATGTGTTAAAAACAATACAAATGTTATTTTAATTAGTTTTCTAATCAATAATAATGACAGAAATGTATTGTCAGAGAAGTACTGAACAAACCATTCATTTATTATATAATAAAATATTGTTTCGCGAAATCTTATGATTAATAAGATTTGACAAAAGCTTTTTAATTAAACACTATTATTATGTAACCAATCATTCGATGGCAATACTTATCTCAATATTTATTTTAAAAAATATTTTGTTTGCTTTAATACTTAAGGGGATTAGAAAAGTACTAATAAAGTGTCAAAATTACTCAAACATTTTGCTTAAAATTTGCAAAAGAAAATCATTTCAATAAAAAATGTGTTATTTATCGATAAGAAACGTATTTTGCATAAAATTATGTGAGAATTTTAATAATATTGTGAATCAATTTATATTTAGGATACAAATAATATAAAACTATTTAATATTATAGTCACGCATCAATTTATTGCAATTTATCGCATCAAATAATTGTATTAAAATATTTGTAAATAAACATTAACTTACCTGTTGGTGAGTATTGAGGGGATTATTAACAAAATACACAATATATTAAATAACATTATTATTATTTTATTAAGTCTCAAATTTTATTAAAATAGACTCATTTATATATCCAACTAAAAGGCAGCATAACTTGCTATTAAACACAACACAATTATATTAAATGGATTATAAAAAATTAATTCAATTTTAAACTAAAGTGATTGTTATTTAACACAAAAAAGGATTTAATTCTTAAAAGAACTATTAATTTGTGTTACTTTTTTATATAGATATTGAATTGTGTATTAAAATCGTGAGGCAAACTCAAAATAGGGTCTGAAAATAGTTTCAATAGCGATATTAAGTCCTCCCAAACGCATGTCTTCTACTATTCCCACAATTTTTACGATAAAATACAAGAATTATATGAGAATAAAACGCTTTACTCCACTCAACACTCAATTCTGTTGCTGTTATTATTGCCATTAATTCTATATTCTTTAACATTAAGATTTGTAATTCATTTGTTATTATCATTTGTTTGTCATATCTTTTGTAGCAATTTTACAAATACAACAAAAGTGTTAATAATATTTTGCTATTTTATGTAGTTTTAACATTTGTTGATATCATACGAATTATATTTACTTCACATAAACTGGACATTTAAATGGCACTATTGTCCATATTTATTTAGTTAAATTTAATGATAAATTAATAATACATTATATAATCAAGAATATATAACAAAATATGTGGAAATTACTATTAACTTGAATTTTACCAGAAATCTGGTCAATAATATTCGCATTATATAATATACATGTATGTAAAGCAATGTACAGTAAATGTATACTGTATTGAAAAAGCATGCCTACTTTATACCATTATTATGCCAATTAAATAAAACATCAAAAAGTTATATTAAATAACAATATTTTAGATTATTATAAATAGAAATTGACACAGAATTTGAAAAATGCATTTTCAAATAAATTGATTTTATTTAAGCACAAAATTATTTAAAACAATGTTTGATCAATATTTTTAGTATACACTTTTGAGAAACCATTGTTTAGTATAGAATTTATTGTTAAACTCATTGTAATATATAATTAACGTTTTGTATAAACTTTATAATTTAAAAATTTTGTATAATTTATACTTTATACCTTAAATTAGTAGATTTATTCACAAATTGCTAAATTATTAAAAATTGCAATTCATTTGTGTTAAATAAGTTTTAATCCTAATAAATGATAAAATACTCTAATTATGAGAATTGTATTTTTGCTACAATTTTTCAATTAACGATTTTGATTAATACTATAAAATAAAACACTTTCGTGTATTTTATTGCATTTCTACAATAAGGTATTTTGTGATGAGTTTATATTAAATTATGTTGTCTATAGTATTCTCATAAATTTTTTTATTAGATATGTTTGCAAATTGTTTTCAAACAAATGTGGAAAATATAAATTTTTAATTCTCTATTTTTTAAAACCAATAAAAAAAGTACACAATTCGTTGATTATGAACTGAAGCGACCATCTATTATACGGTGTATACCCTAATGTCATTGAGCCGGTAGTTTATATCTTACGAGGGAAATATAAACCATTTCCCATTCGGAATTAAATTTAATTCAGTTGTACGTATAGATTGGACCAAATAAAAAATATAAATTCCATATCTCGGGCTGATAGCCACAAACGTCCGAGATATGGCCATTTTAGTGATTCCGCGTATACGGCGTATAGCATTGAAAAAAGGTGTTTCACACAGTGCTTGGGCTAATCACCAGTACTGCATTGCTATAC